CAGTCAGGAAAGTAGGAATACAGCTTTCACAGTAGAGAAAAGTCACTAGTGTGGTTAAACAGAAATTCATAATGTGGTCTGGGTTGTTCAATATATTCTTAAATGGCTAGAAAAATGGTAGAGTACAATAAGAGAGATTGGTGATGACATCTGGTTATTCAGGATAGTCATTGTTAGAACTGACTGCGAAGATGCCATGATAGCAAGTGACAGCATGATAAAATGGCAGATAAAAATTCATGTTGCTGACTGCAGGGTAATGCATGAGGGGGAGAAACAACACTAAAAATACGTACATCGTGACGGGCTCTAAATTAGCTGTTCTCACTCAGGCTTCATTCTGGATAGTTCTCTTGAAAATGCCAGCCCATTACTTAGTGACATTCAACAAAGCTAACAAGATTTGGGGAATTATTGGGAAGGAAATAGAGAAGAAAACAGAAAATGTCATTATACAGTTATTTGGATCTGTAAGACCTCTTAGGTACAGTCAAGGAGTATCTTGAATATTTTGTGCAACTCGGCTCAGCCTGTCTTAGAAACAGCTCTCTAGAACTGAAAAAGACCTGAGAAGGATGATCAGGATGGTCCTGGAACATCTTATGTACAGAGATAAGACCAAAGCTCTTAAGATTTGAAAATTACCATGGGAAAGGGTGATATGACAGGCTTATAAAATCCTAAGTGTCAGGAAAGTGATGAACAGGGAATGAATGCCTTCTGTCTCTAAAAACAAAAGAACTAAGGGGTAGTAAACAAAATAATCAGGTAGCCAGTTTAAACCAGAAGAAATTACTCTTTCATGTAGTGTGTAATGAAACGGTGAAATTCAGTGTTAGGGGAGATAGCAGGTGCCAGAACTAAATGGGCTCCAAGTGATTAGGCAGATCTGCAGAAGAAAAGAGCATCAAGGACACTGAAATATGAGGACACAGGTAGTTTGCCACCAGACTGCCTAAAGCAGGGAGTGTGAGTGTTGGAGGTGTTACATCTCTCTGCCTGACGCTTTTTCCCAGGAGATGGGGTGCTGGGGTAGGTGCACCTTTGGTTTGGCTCCTCTTCTATCCTTGTCTCTCCTCCAGCAGCTTGTCCACATTGTCCTCGAGGTTATCACCGTGACGTGATGACAGAGGCAGCTGCACTGTGCCAGGTTCTCTGAGTCTGATCTAGGTTAGCTTGGTGTCTCTCAGGCATGGCAACCTTTTATAAACCTGGCTTACTTTGGCAGTGCAAATGCACGGTTTTGGTGGCACATCTGAAGGTAGAGCAACAAGCAGAGGGAGGGGCAAGGACACTTGAGTGAGTGATCGTCATCCCCAGTCAATGAGCAGTGCAAAGTGTGAGAGGTCAGACGTGTGCAAGACAGAGCCGTGTCACCTTCCCTGTTTAGTCCAAAGTGAGATTTTTTTCCAGCTGTTTCAACTTTAGGAAAGAAATACCTGCTTCTTTCACAAACCAGAGGGAATTGTTTCAAATGTGCTTTCAAAAAGCCAGCATGTAGCTGCGTCACACTCAACGGTAACGTTTCATGCTGCCGTGGTGCTTTGAGCCGTGTCTGCCTTAATTACACCAATCTCCAGTGACTCCTGTGAGCTCAGAAGCTCCTCAGAGCCAGAGCAAGCCCCTTCAAACCAGTTGAAGACTCACCTGGTTTGAAACACCTGCAGAGCAAGTCTCTGAGTACGATGGACCTTGCCGAGGCAGGGAAAGGTGGGTTGCAGTGCTTTGGTCCGCGTTGAAATGCAATTTTTTGTCTAAAACCAGGGGGTAGGAATGAAATCCACGTTTGTGAGTATGTGACAGTCCAGAAGCTTCCAGGTTCTGCCAAAATTAGTCAGGTTACCCCAGGAAGTGGGTGGAAATGTATATATGAATGGGAAGCTCAAGATTGTTTTTCAGTAGAGTTTGAGGGGTGAAGATGCAGCTTTTTATATTCTCATTAACATTCATTTTATAGCAGTACCTGTATACCTCAGCTGGGCGATCCACACTCTTCTGTGCTGGATGATGCTGGTGTAACAGTTCCTGCTTGGACAAAACTTTAAGTTTAGAAGATAGTAAAAAATTAAAAAAAGTAAAGTGTGGATAGTCCTAGGCAGAGGGAGTGAAACAGGACAATAAATTATAGGATGCCCAAGCACTCCCAACAACAGGAACAATAGGATGCTTTATTTTGGGCAATTGAGTAACCACTTATTTTATTAGCGAATGAAAGTTAAAAATGGCTTTCTCTCAGAACTGCTGGGTAAATGCGTGGCAATTATTATGTAATTACAGAGGAAAAGTGCACCATTTGTGCACACTGAAGGGAAAGTGTTGCCAGGCAATCTACAGATTGCAAGGTAATTTTAATGTAAGCATACATAATTGTTATGTAATTTGGGAGACTCAATAACCATGCAGATGCTTGAAGCTCGCAGTCGTCACAGCAGCAAATGCATCATTGCTGGTTGGGTTTTATTAAATTAAAGGTTGCAGACTGCATTCCTGTGGGAGCCTGCAAGGTGTTAATCCATGCTAGTGTGCTGCCCTCGGTGCAAACCGTCCGCGGTGAGCGGCAAGGGGCCACAGGAGCTGCTGGGCGTCCGTGGGGACTGGACTCCGCTGGTTATTCATGATGCTTGCTTGCAATGGAGGCCGCCTGCAAGAGGGCTGGCTCTGGGGAGAAGTGTTAGGAGGGAGGCAGTGGTCAGTGTGATGAGAGCAGAAACTCTGGGTGGGAAGCCCGGCTTAGCCATGGTGGGAGGCAGGGACAGATGGTCTGGAGAGAGCTGAGAGCTCCCACATCCAGAGGGACTGCTTTTGGCTGGGTGTCTGGATTTAGTATGTTTAGTACTGGGAAGTGCTCTTTGATGTGTGCACAGTCTCAGCCTCATTCACTGAGTAATGAAGAAACAGAGACAGGTTCAAGGTCTGAGAGCCAGGGAGATCTGCCTGTGGCTAGAGTATCCCTTCCTCTGGCCCCCAAACTGCTGGGAAAACATTTTGAGCTTAAGTGTGGTTCACATGTTCTGTTTTTGATATGCCTGTCTTAGACCTGGGCTCTGTTGTGCAGACCATGTCAGGAGTTATTTAAGCAAACTTTAATTCCCATCCTGGTGAAATGGGCCCTACGAAGGAAAATGCTTTTGCTCCTGCGTGCAAGACTTCCCGGTACTGATGGCACTGCATGCACACCCTCATGAACTGAGGAGGTGGGCTGCCGGCTGCATGTTTTAAGTACCACTGGAGTGGTAATTTCAGAACACACTTAAGTGCTTTGGATGGAAAAGTTTTGCTGAATTATTTGTGTCATTAACTAAAGCATGTGCTTAAGAGTCTCTGTGAATTGGAGATATGTGCAATTACCTCCCTTTTCACTTGTAACTTCCCTCTAGTAGTGCTTATCTGGGGTTATTTAAGCTTCAGTCTCCCTCCTAGTAAGGCAAACATTGCTTTCCCAATGATACTCAGCAGAAATAGATGCGCTAGATAGCGAAGAGTTGCCAAAGGAGTTAGCAACCATGGCAGGAGTCAATCCTGAGAGCCGGGAGGTGAATACATGCTCCCCCACAGAGCCAGGCCGGGGCTGGGGGTCAGCCCTGGATGCCTCGCCACCGGGACCCACCAGCAGTGCCAGATGGCCAGGCATCCAGCCGTGTACCTTGCAGCATGCCTTCCAGCACCCTGAGATCGGTGGCCTGGGCATTTCCTTGGCCAAAGGTTGTGTCTTTGTATTTAATGGCCTCTGATATTGTTCCATTCCTGTGTCCAATCCCTTGTTAAACTTGTGTAAATCTTCAATGTCTGTTACCTCCTACATACACTGTGGGCAACAGTTCCCATTCGGGGTTGAGTCTGATCCTGCAGGTTTCAGCTGATGCCAGGAGTGACTTGGGAGCAATCATGCCCTCTCTGTCCCACCCCTGGTTTATGGACCTCTGTCACATCTTCATGGGCGGCTTTTCAAGGCTCCAGAGTCCTTGTCTGTGCCAAGTGTCCTTCCACCCCTTTGACCATGTAGCAGTCCTGGAGCTCCCCCAAGCCTTATTAATTGAGGGCACAACAGTATTTCAGAGTTGTCTGCTACAGTAAATGCAGCTGAAAATATTTGCTGCAGGAGTTGACACATCCCTCCCCCAACAAAGCCTACAGGTTTGCTGGACAAGGACAGATAGTCTGCTGTTTTACTTCCAATATCCTGGTTATGGTAATACCTGAATACAGATTTAACTTCTTGAAAGCAGTAAAATTTCCTTTTGGATTGACTTACTAGTGACTTATGTTTAATAACTGCACAGTAAATGGGTTTGCTGAGTGACTGTGAATTTGGTGTCATGCCAGTTTGCATTGGCAGATGAACTGTGGAAACAAGTACCAGGTGAAGCATGTAAGGAGGATTTTCTTCCAGTGTCAGTCTGCTGGCCAGAAATGTTTTCCTTATTGTGAGCGGATGTTTGGCTCAACACAAGGAGTAGATACGTTAAACTCCTCTCCAGTGGTGGGAGACATATGTGGGAGCTGCAGGAGAGGTTGTGAGGGAGAAGCGTACTCCGTCAAAAGACACGAGGGATATGCCAGGCAGGTATCCCAGTTTTGATTTAGGATTGGGACGCAAGTAGCCCTAAGAGTAAGAGCCTAAGTAAGGTAGAGGAATAAGCAAATGAAAGGTCTGTCTAAGCAGGCAGCCTGGCTGTGACACTAGCCAGGAGCAGATGCTTAGTGCAGAACATGCACACAAGCTTGACCCGGGGGAAAACCCTGCTCACTTGCACGGTTAGGATGAAGCACAGCAACCGTCCCTTCTGCTGTTTAGCTGCAAGCTCAGTATTTTGTCCAGCTCACGAGAAGCTGAAACAGTTGCTGTCAGTGTGGCTGAAAGGAAGAAAAAACATTATTTCCTGCATTCTCCATAGAAAATGCACAATTTCCCTGCTGCGACTGTGTCTAGGGAAACTAAGTGTGGCAGTTCTGGTCCCCTCTGCTTGTCTCATCTGAGCTATTGGGTTGAAGGGAGGGTCATGACACAACTCTCCATGACACTAAAGCCGTTGGGAAGTTACCTTTCCAGCAGCAGTTCTCTGCAGGGCGCCCATATGAATGCCTGCAATGCTCTGGAGCCTAGCACGCTAAGCCTGGAACAATAATGAATTGCCTGACATGCAGATCAAAGCTAGCTTTTCTGAGATAAGACTTAATCTACTTGATCATCAATATGTGAGTATAATTTCCATTATCTTAAAAGGAAATTTAAGCAAACACATCAACAGCTGAGTCAACTGCAACATAAGCCCAGGGTAGGCACACTCAAGCATCAGTAGCATAGATGAGTTGGATCAGGTTTGGCTGTTGGCAGAGGTAAATTCCTCAGGCCTCATGCTGGCGTGGCCCAGGAGAGCTGGGACATAAGTCCATGACAGAGCTGCTGTGTACTCTACTGTGATTCCCAGTGAGCTACTTGATCCATCTGTGCCTCCATTCCCGTGTGCAAGATGGGAACTTGTTCCTTCTCTGCTCCTGCCTCTTGCCTGTGCAAGTTGGGAGCCCCTCAAAACTGAACATGTTGAGGTGGGAGCCCTTGACTCCAACTACAGCTGCAATGTGCTGGGTCTTATAAATGACACCACCAGGAAAATTGGGGCTGGCTTCTGTTTTATCACTTGCAGGGCTCTGGGTGATAAAAAACCCAAACAAAAAAACCTTTCATGTAGCTGCAAGTGTTGCTGATACGCAATCGATGAGGACTTTGTATAAGAGCGAGAGTAATTAGCTGGTGGAGCAGATCAGAGAGATGTGCTAGAGCCTCTTAAGAGAGATTAGGCAGTTTGATTTTTTGTTGTGGTTTGATGAAGTTATGTAAGCAATTGTGCTTGGGGTCAGACGCAGCCCACGGCACAGGCTGTGCAGGTTGTTTTGGCAGAACTTGCTGCACGTCATACCCTCCTCCCCACTTTCCAGCAGTCCCTTGAACATTGGCAGATGTGTAGCTGCGGCAGGAAGCTCTGCATATCCTCTGTGACCAGTGATCTGCCGTGGGCTTGTGCAGGTTGGAGGACAGGTGTAGAAGGGCAGCCTTTGGCAAGGCTACCTCTCCTTCCTCTTCCCCGTTGCTTCCTACTGTTAGTATCCTGTACCTTGTCCCTTCTGGCAGGAGCGTGGTGGGCAACCACGTGCTGAAAATGGAGCACAAATGGCAGCTGAACTCTTCCAAAGGGCTGGGCAGTGCTGGGTGTTGGAATCCCCTTTTGTACAACCCAGGCTTAAGCAACATATTCAAGTGGCAGAAGTTTGATGGATGCAGCAAGAGAGTGGCAAAGTAGTGAACAGAGCTGAGAAAATAGGAGCTGGGATCCTCGCTCCAGCCGGTACATGAAACCCCTGCAATGAGCTGAGCCTGGGAGGGAAGGTGTTCCCTTCGCACAGCCCACTACATCCATGTCCTCCGGCTCTTTCTCAGTGGAGCGTTGCGGACAAGTACAGAGGCTTGCTTCAAAGAGCAGCCTTCTGTTTTAAGCTTTGGATGGTGGTGCAGCAGTTTCCTTGGGAGGGTGTTAAATCATTTCTTTGCTAGAGGGGTGATGTGAGAGTAATACTAAGCAGACTCTGCAGTAGCACCATATGGATTGCTTTTGCCCTTGAATGGGAATGGGATTCTGTTTTTAATCAAGTATAATTCAGCATCAGCTTCAGTAAATAGCAGGATGTGTCAGTGCATTGCAAAGTTTTATACGTATAATTTTTAAATGGGCTTTTAGTAAGTTGGTATTAACCTGCTGGAGCTCTAAGGTTTCCAGAAAGGAATGCAGTGAAAGGCACCTTTTTTAAAAGGACCAAGGAACGATCTCTCTCTTTCTAGCAATCCTACCTCTGTTCCCTCTTGGTCTTCACTGGCTGTTAATCTAAGCAGACAGTTCCCAGGCGTTTGCTTTTGAATGAAAAGGAAAAGCCTATTTAGTCTCTGAATAGCCTGCGGTATCTGGAAATGAGCAGCATTTGTGAAATGAGTTGCATGTTGCAAAAAAAGCTGACTTGTCCCACCAAAGGCAGCCAGGGGACTGAACAGAAAGAAATTATGTGCTCAGCGGGGCTTTGTTAATGAGTAGTGATGGAGCAAGGAAGCAGAGCGGCAGGAGACCTGCAGAGAGCCCAGGCAGTGCTGTGTGCTGCACGCACAGATAGGAGCCAGCTGGCCAAGCAGCAGAGATCCTCCCCAAAATCTGCCCCTTTTTTCCAGCCCCTGAAGATTCACCCCTGCCTGCTTTGCGATATGAGTGCTGCAGGATCTGTAAGCCACAGCAAGTTTACAGCTGTGATGCCCCAGGACCTTGGCCCTGCCCCATATCTTCCCGAACGGCAAGATCCTCTCGGGAGCAACATGTGTGCTAACAGCACTGGCTTTCTGCGGGAGTTTCATTTTGTAGTTATTGAAGTAATTTGGCTCTGACTATTGCAAGCTGAGTTCTGCAGGGACGCTGACCCCAGTTCAGAGGGATGTAAGCCCATGCCTTCTTTTAATACCATTCCTAAATCATCTGCTGGCTTTTCACAGAGATAACATTCAGTGTGTGCCAAAATTATGTCCTAAATGGGCATGTTGTGTGACCTGGAAGTACAAACCAGCTGCTTGTTCCCTGGACGGTCAGCACCCAGAGTGTTTGCAGGCCTGGAGGTGTCTGGATGGCACAGTACCACCAGGCAGCTGTGACAGCCTCTTGGTGTTAGACACACGCTGTCTTGTTGCCTAGGGCCAAGGATGAGAAACCATGTTTGTGGTGCTGATGAAGTTATGGGAGAAGTGGATGCAGACTGCCTGAAACTGTTGAAAGGAGGTGAGTAATCTAGGTGTGCCACTGGAGAGGCTTTCAGAGAGTCTACCCTGGGACAAGGTCTGCCATAAGGACCAGCTGCAAGGTCACGGGCAGCTTTTCATGAAGCTGCAGGTGCTTTTTCTGCCCCTGTTGGGGAAGATCTGAAAGCAGAAGCAGTCAACCCCAGCATGGCACACCCCATGTCCCTATTGCTCTGAGAAACTCTGGATTACTCTGTTGTGTACATAAACACTCAACCTATTGGATCCATGCTGCTAATACCAAGATAAAATACATTGTGAAGAAGAAACAAAACAAAGCCCTGAAAAGCCAGATTTTTAAGGAGACCTTTTATTTTGGGTAGTTGTTTCATATGGGCTTGAATTTGAACACCCAAATACAGGTTCATCCCAGCTGCTATAGGCAGTAGGTGCAGCATACCTGCTAGAGGCTCTGTCTGAAATTGAGAGGGACAGAAGATGATGATGGTCCTTTTCCAGCTGCTGTTAACACCTTGAGTGCTCTGAATCCTCCTCTGAGCTTGTATCTCTCCACCACACACCATCAGCCTTCAGCAGGCTTTTCTTAGGTGCCTGCACTTCATGCCCAAAGTCAGGAGACAGCCTAGACTTTTAGGCATGATTTCCCTTGTTGCTGAGCACCCCAGGGCTTTGGAGTTTGACTATGTCCAACTTCAGATGTGCCTGGTCAGGCTTTCTAACACATGTTGTGATGAAAAGGTAGTACATTTGCCTTCACCTGTCATACCTGCTTCGTTCGTGGGGCGACTGTGAGGCTTAGCAAATGGGTATTTCTAATGCGCTTTGGGATCTTTGCCTAGACGATGCTCCAGAAATCCATGGGATTGTTATTCAGATGCAAACACGCCTGAAATACTATTACCTTTCCACTGAAGTGAAGGATAGGTCTAATAAACCCAAATTTAACAGAGCACTGCAGAATCAGACTTTCTCCTAAGGGCTCTGTAATATCTTACATTGTTTCATTTTCATTATGAAGAGGTATTGATCTATTCTTTGAAACGAGTCTGTCAGCACAGAAAGTGCAGAGCATCTTGGAGCCCAGGGACGTTGCTCCAGTGAGCTGCTGACCTCTGCTTTAAGAGCAAAATCCTTTCCAGGTAAAAGCAACGCGTGGAACCCTTTAGTCAGTTTGCCAAAGCAGCTTCAGTGAAGTGCTCTGCTTTGGCCAGCTCAGCATCGATTTTAGCCTTGGCAGGGATGCAGACAGGCACATTTGCAGAAGAATGAGTGGTTTTTGGCTGTTGATGTCCCCCTTATACGTGGCACATGGGGCCTGGGAGGGGAGCACTGATGGGCTGGTCCTTCCCAAGGCTGCATGCATCCAGCACCCACATCCCCACGGCTGGATGGTGTGGGTCTGAGGGCAGTCTTGCCAGGGCTGATGTCTGCCTGCTTTGTAACTGTTTCTGCAATGTCACAAGCAAAAAACCCAATGCCTTGCTGTGGCCAGTCTCTCTGAGCAGGGCACGGAGTAGCTGGAAGTTCCCTCAAAGGCATGAACTCAGCTTATGGGTCCCAGTTCCCCACGAAGGGAACTAAATGGAGGTACGTCATAGGTTGGTTTAAAAGAATAATCCCCAAACCCTCATGGAGCAAGTTTAGGTGCAGCAATACAGATAGTTATTTTGGTTATGTTTCTTTAAAGTACATTTGGGGTTTAAAGTGCTTTTCCTCCTCTTCTGTGCCTGATGCAGCCCTGCTCCTGTTTGCTACAGCTGTGTCACAGCATGTCCTTAACCCCAAGAACAGGATGAGTGTTTTGTTTCTGGGACCTCTGTTCCTTGCTTCCAGTGACATTAAATAGCAGTGCTAACATAGGCACCTTTCCTGCCTTCTGCTCTTACATCTGCAGAGGGAAGAAACTTGCTCCCAGATGCTTCAGGCTGCTGAAGTTAGAGGGTTGATTTGTGTTGGTGATTGTGTTTAACTGAGCGCAGGTGTCACCTGCTCCCCTTGGGTGGCTCTGTGGGTTGTACGCTCCTTGCGCTGTTGTCCCTTCTGTACGGTCATTAGCAGTCTGGAGGGTATCATTAGTGGTAGGCTTTTATTTCTGAGATGCTTAGCTCTCCCTCTGGAGTTCTGCAGGGATAACACACCATCTTTTTCTCTGCACGTCATGCTGGAAATGCAGATCACACTGGTTTAACAAGTACCTTTCCTGCAGGACAGCTCTGTCCCTGAGCTTCTTTTGCAGTGTGTGGCAGCAATGCCCATGTCACTGCTGGCACATCCCACCACTTGGCCAGTCAGCCTTTGGCCAGCCCTGCTAAATTAATTGTTCCTTGCCCTTCTCCCTGCAATGCATTATCTGCAAGAGATGTGGACTCACAGCGAAAGTTTGTGGGTTGGAAAGTTTTTCTGAGCTTAGTGGTGTTGATGTCCTGCAGGTGAACAGTCCTGCTTCCTTTCTGCAGCTCTCAGACAAGCCAGGTTTTTTCTGTTGCCTACAAATGGACTTGGGAATGATTTTTGGGGAATCTTTTACTTTTCTTTCTGCAGCACTGTATTCTACTGAAATGTACCAGTGGCAATGCACAGCACAGGAGAGGATAAGACCGTGCGTTTTAAAGCCTGAAGCCCGTTTCAGATAGCTGTGCAAGGGAGGATGCCCACAGCAGCTGGTAGACTGGGACTTTAAGAATTGTGCTTCTTCAGAGCAGAAAAGGGATTTCAGGTTGCTTTCATCAGGTTAGCAGCTCCACACCAAATCATTTCTTGGCAGACGTGAGCTCTTACTCTTACAATTTTTGTAGCTGTGATGGAACCTCGTTCATTTACACCAGCTGGTGCTCGGCGCATAATTCCTGTCTCTCATCCATTCTCCCTTCATGGCTATTGCCTCTGCACAAGGCAGCTGGATAGAGGAGAGGACTTGCAGGTAGCATAAGTCTTTCGAGCCACCTGGCATGAGACTTTCATTACTGTCACCCAAACAGCATGGCAAAGCAGCACGGCACGTGGGTTGGACACTACTCGTAGCACCACCACTCCTGAGCTGGCCAGTCACTTCTCTGAATCCCAGGTTTTTTATTATTGAAATCGTGACCCAGGTTTTGCCTGGCTGATGCTGCATTGCAAAGCCCTGGGACGTGTCAGGCTCACTCCTGAAAGCACAGCCTGTGCTCCGCTGCCCCACAGACACTTGTGCTAATTTCCTCCTCTTGAGCAGTCGAGGTCAGAGACTGTCCCTAATGCTCACATCAAGCACATGGATGTTCAGTTCTGGGAGATGCAAATGTTAATTGATCCCAGTGTTTGATGGCTTTGATTTTTGCAAAGGATGTGTTCCTCATTTCTTTGTTCAACATTCACATTGCTCCTGTCCCTAAGAGCCGGCAGTGCCCCGACCCGCTGGGTACCAGGCTGAGATGGGCACTGAACAAACACAGAGCACCTGGCAAACGGTTTGCATTTTTCCTCTACTTTTATTAGATTGCGGAAAGGCCGGGAATGTATTTTACAAGATTAATAGTTATTTGATATGAGAATTGGGTTTTGGTTTTGTTTGGGCTTTTTTTTTTTTCCCTTTCCTGTATGGAAGAAATAATAGAAAGCATGCAGTACCTGCTTGCCTAGTGTAACTCCTTCAGTTTTCACAGACTTACCTCCAGGGATATACTTGTATGGCCCACGTATATTTGTAGCTTGTATTTTTTTGAGGCATTGGGAATCTTAGCCCTGTGGTATCAGGCAGGGTACCAGACACCTGCCTGAAAGGCAGCTCATCTCCTGAAGGGAAACTTCATTTCCCCCTCTTGCTTTTTTTTTTTTTTTTTTGCGTTTCCTATATTACCATAAAGAAATGCCAGCTTGCCACCAGCTTTGCTGCGGAGCAGATGTCTCCTCGTAATTACTGTTGTTGCAGGGTTTTCAGTGTTTATCCTGACTGTCTAGTCAGGCTGTTACAGCATTAACTGGCTCACATCACAGCGTGGCCGCGCAGTTGCTGCACATCTGGAAGAAGATGTAAGCACCACTGCTCTCCAGCAAGCTTCTGTCTGCTGTGTCTCCAGATCAGCTCTTTAACGTGTCAAGGGCAGCATCCCCCAGCACTCCTTTAAACTAAGGAGAGGTCCTTGCAGAAGAAGTGTCTGCAAGCATGACTTCACCTCCCCAGACACAGCCTGCTGGGGAACTGGCTTGAAAAGAGCAGAATAGTTACGTGAAGTTTGTTCTTTCTTGGTCCTCAAACACAAGCTGGGACGTTCCATAGGGCAGGCTGCCTTTGCAACAGTGTGTTGACCAGGTTTGTAAAGCAGGAAAGGGTTAGACCAGCATTTTCCCTCCCCCAGCTGTGTGTTTCCTAGGAGATATGAACAGTGTTTGTGGGGAGGTATAAAAACAAATGTGCTCAGTTTGCAAGAAGCAAGTGTGAAAATGGTGGTTGGAGCTGGGGAAGGAGAAAAGTTGAGGGGTCCTGTTCCCCAGGGAAGGGCAGTAAAGACTTAGAGGATTTCTTCTTCTCTTCAGTAAAGTTTCTTTAGGTTTTCTATAGTTCTGCTTTTGGGGTCATTTCGTGTTCTGAAAGCTGGGGGGGTTGGGGTTTTTTTTTATTCTTAATTTTTTTTTCTCCAGGTTCCTGAGAAGTTAGCCCCTTTCTTAAACTCCTTGCTGCCACTTCCCTCAGCGGCACAGGAATGGCTTTCTTGCAGCTGCAATGTTGCTCCCCAGATAGCTTCTAATGAGAGAGATTTTGTTGTTTTTCAGTGCATCTCAACCTCCAGGCTCTTTGCAAGGGTTTCTTTCATTTTGGATGTCTAAGCAATTCAGCTGGTGCCCACGATTGGCCTTATGGACCCAGGGCAGAGTTGGAGTCTTTGTGGCAGCCTTGTGGGAGCAAAAGGCCATGCATAGGGACAGCCTGCGCTCTGAAGGGCTGGGTGGCAGAGGTTTGGCCGTGGCTCTGTGTGTGAGAGTGGTCGGCGTGGCTGGCTCCTTTGTGCGGTGGTGGGGATTTGGGGTGATGCAAAACAAGTTGACATCATTTCTCTATTTGTGGGCTCCACTGTGAAGCACAGCTAGAGAGAGAGCGTACCTTTTTGGGTTGCTGGCACCAACCAGCTGGTGATTGATTGCTCTGTGGTCAGAGGCATCTTTTGAGCTGGAAATACCCACTGATTTCTGAGCTATTGGCTGGCCTTGGCACTCGGCTGCTAGTTGCTTAAATATCTCCTCTGGGCCTGTTTCAGTCTGCCTGTGGTTCTGCCCCTTTTGATTAGTTTCATGGAATTGCAGCTTCAAAATAAACAAATTAAAAATTAACCTTTTTACTTGGATCTCACGAACCTTTAATACCACAAGCTGCCCAACCCATCAGGTGGTCTGATCAGGCCAAGCAAATCTGCGTGATTTGAATGATTTCCTTCTCTAACAGCTCTGCTCAGTCCCACTGGTTGGACTCTTCTGGGTTCACGTTTGCTCTTTGTGTAATTATTGGTGACAGATGTATTTCGGAGCGTTGTGCTCCGTACATCCCAGTGAGGCACCAAAAAGGAATGGGTATAGGAAATGGAACTTTTACTACATTATATTGCATATCCAACAGCAGCCTTGAGTGGGGTGCCTGAGCTTGCACCTTTACTTTCATACTCCTGGAAACGTTTCTTCTGGGTGGGTCAGCTGCAGACCATGATCCTGGATTTGGTGGATTTTTTTTTTTTTTTAGTGCACTACCAGAAGATCATTCACCGGGACATCAAGCCTTCCAACTTGCTCTTAGGAGATGATGGGCACGTCAAAATCGCTGATTTTGGAGTCAGCAATCAATTTGAAGGGAACGATGCCCAGCTTTCCAGCACGGCAGGGACACCAGCCTTCATGGCGCCAGAGGCCATTTCAGACACTGGCAAAAGTTTTAGTGGAAAGGTAAGTCTGCTCACAGCTAATGCCTCCTGGGACTCCCAGGCATGGCACAAAGGGCAGCACTGCACCTGCATCCTGGGTTGTTGCCCACCCAGGGATTGTGGTGCAGGTTGGGGTTGTTACTGAGTAAAACTGAAGATTAATTCTGTGTGTTCAGTCCAGGCAAAGTTTACATTGGCTGTTTTATGTAGCAGGCAGACTGAGTTTGTGGACCTGGCAGGAGCCATGTTAGAGCCCTTTCCCTGCCCAAAGGGAAAGCAGGAAACTCCTGATTCCCTTCCAAAATAATCAGGGGTCTGCTGGGCATCAGGGTCATGTTTTGATCCCCTGAAAGGAGGAACACTGCCAGGATGTTGGGAATAGGGTCTTAGTGTGGGTGGTTTTGCCTGGAAGAAGACTTTTAAGGTTCAGCCCTGAATGGTGTCATCCCCTGTAAGAAGGGGCTGCTTGCTGGTCCACGGCGCTCCACAGCAAGGACAAGGGTGGCAGCGTCTGGCCCTGCACAGTCCTTGTTCCCCAGGCATGCTGCAGATGCCTTTAGGAGCCCAGCTTCAGAGAGACTGCACAATAAAATAGAAAATGTTGAATGCGTACACATAATGTTCTGTGAGTTGGTGGGAAAATCCAGCTTGTTCAGATCATCTCTGTGTTGCATCTCATTTACTGCTGGCACATGCTTTCTTTCAGGCGCTTGATGTATGGGCCATGGGAATTACCCTGTACTGCTTTGTTTATGGGAAGGTAAGCTGGCTTTCAGACACTGGAGCCCTGCATGGGAGTGTCTACCCGTCTGGCTTTTGTCTCATTCCTTTCCAAATAAAGGCAAATATTAGAAATGAAGAACTACCTTTTGCAAGCTCCTGTTTTCCCAAATCACCCTGCAGATGAGAAGGGACTGACGCTGTGATCTGCGGAAAGGATGGTTTCTAGAGTTGGCCCCTGTATTCAGAGCAGTTGTTCGTGCTACAAACCCAAAGCAGCATCAGTAGCACCAACAACAGTTTGTCAGGGGGTTATCCGTATTGCCTATATTTAGAAACAAGCCAGATAGAGCATGGAGAGGGGTTTGATCCGAAGCCACTGCAGCACTTTAGCAAACTAGATTACAGAAAGCTCTTTCTGCCAGAGCTGAGGTGGAGAACACTTTGGCAGAGCCAGCTCTTCAGAGCTGTGTTCTGCAGACTCCATGTCCTGTCATGGCTTCTCCCTCTCCTGTGGCTAGAACCCTCTTTTCCCACCCATGCTGTTCCAGGGCAAGCAGTACAGCAGGCACGTATGGTCTGTGCGTGTCGGATGTTACCCTGAACCTCCTGTCCAAGCGTTGACTGCTGCAGATCCCACCACAGAGACATAAGGCATCTGGCTTGGGGGTAGAGAAGTGGCTGGGGGAGATGGCAGAGGCAGAACTATCTCCACTGGTGGTGTGATATTGCTGAGCTAAGTCAGGATGGAAAATATTCTCTGACCTGTGTCTATAATGATGTCTCATTTAGGCCCAATCCTATATATATATACACCCAATCCAGGGTATAACCTTGATTGTGTATTCTGGTATAACCTCATGGAGATACTACTTCCCCCCTATGGCAATAGAGGGAATATGAAGCCAAGTGCAAGGATACACTTACCTGTTCCGTGTGTCCCTGTACAGTAAATATTGTACGTTTTGCAGCTGTTTTATATTTCATAATTTAATCTTTTAATCTGTTTAAGTCCACAGCCCACTAAAACAAATGTACCTGCTCCTTTAGTTTCGATGCAGATGTTGATAGGGGCTGTGAATATGCTGCTCCTGTATCCTCCGCAGTATTCACCACAGCTCAGTTAACCGCCTGTCAGTCCTGCCTGCCCTGCCAGGTGGGAAGAGCCAGAATCTAGGTCTAAGTTAATCCAGTGTAAAAAGTTGTGCTGAAGAGAACTATGCTTTGAATCCATATATCTGAATTTACAATAGAAAACCAGTTTTTTTAATAGTGTGGCTTGTTACACAGAGACCTCAAAGCAGTGATACAAGCAAGACAGTATCACGATCTCCATTTTTCAGGTAGAAGAAGTGGAGCAGAGAAAAGGAAAGTGAGTACTTCATGGTCACCTGGCAGGCTGGATGGAGGGGTGTATCCCAATCCAGTTCTGTATTCCTTAGGTCCCTCTGCTGTTCTTCTGCAATTATTTCTTAATAGGCAACAAATCAATTTATTTTGTGTGGGGAGATTTTATTTATTTCCATGTATCTCTGTGTAAAATCAAGAGTGTGCACAGAGAGACTATACTTCTGTTATGTGAATGACAAATGCTTAAGCGGTGCCAAGATCTCTGACAACTGGAAAATCTTTTGTTTGTTTTACAGTGCCCTTTTATAGATGAATATATTCTGGGTCTTCATAACAGGATCAAGAACAAGCCTGTAGAGTTCCCAGAAGAGTAAGTAAACTTTACCCAACTACTGTAAAATAAAGTTCAGTTTTCAGTGTTACTCACTGTGCAGCATATACGCTGGTAGGTCACCACAGAGGGACAGACAAGGGCAGGTGAGGTGCTTTGCGTTCTCCTGGGCCCTTCACGTGGGTTTTGTACAGATGTTCTTGTTGAAGCATTGCAGCTGCCTCTACTGCTCTTGTGTCCATGTTGTGCAGACAGGGACTAAAGGAAATGGCTGCTGAAATCTTTGGAAGTGGAGGGGTTTCAGTATGGGTCTAGGGAGTTCTGCCCCAGCTACTTGACGCTGGAGATGCTGGAAGCGTGGCTGGGTTGGGGTTTTGAGTTTCTCCCATGTGGTAGCCACCAGAATGATTCCATGTATTAGTTTTCAAAAGCAATGTGGTTTATAGACCTTGGTCTCAGTCTAAGTAAACACATGCTGCTTCTGTGGGCTTGTCTTGGAGCTGGGGGAAGTTTCTGGTGGAAGGAGGCTTGTCCTGAGATACCCAACCACAGCTTGGTGCATCCCCACTCCTCTGCCTCCTCCATCATGCTCCAGGAAAATACTGGTCTGTCTTGTGTGCTGGGCTAGTTATGAAAAAAAAAAACCAAAACCAAACCAGGTTACCATTCACTATTGAGAGGTTGCCCCAACCCTGCTTTGGTCAGTGAAGGAAACCAACGCTGGCCACAGTCAGAGCTGCGTGGTGGGATGGCCAGCCGCACAGTCACAGCGCATCCTCTAACCCGGAGAAGTGCACTTGGTAGCAATGGGGGGACGAGCCAAGCCGCTTGTGTGCCATTTGAGCAGTGGGAAGTTCAGTGTCGAGGCACTGAGCAGTGAGTGTTTGTGGTCCTGTCAGATGAGGCTGGCAGGAGACGATCACACTCGGTGTGTGCTTGGTCTCTGCCACAGAGCCACCATGCCTTTCCCTTCATGTGTGGGCCGCTCCTTGGCATCTCCGCTATCTTCAGGCCTCTGATGACTTTCTGTTGGTGATCAGTTTGTTTCTCCTGGTTACTATCAGATGAAGTAGCCAAAGCTGGACTCCTTATCTTCCTTCCAAATCAGCACAGTAGTCAGGCAAAGAATTTTTGACCTTCTTAACCCAATTGTTCATTCTAATGAAAACTTAGAGATAAAATGACTTAATTTAAAACAAGCATGAAGAAATTAAAGCCCTAATGAAAGGCACATCTGGTATTAGAGAGGAAGGGAGGGATGTTGTCAGGCAGTTCTGCAATACATGCGTCTATTACATGAATTATTTGAGACGCTCACTGAATTTTTAGACACCTACAGCGAAGGGCTGGGCCTCTGCCTTGGCAGCCCCAGGTTTCCTTCTGAGTCTGCAGAAAGCAATGGGTGCTCAGGCTGTCCTATTTTAGACATCTGCTTTCGATGGGATGACTCACACCATGGGCTGTATTAATTACCTCTCCGTTGACTATGAATCACGGCTGCTGCAGATAGCTCGGATGGAGCTATCTCCGCTCAGGCTGGTGGAGCTCACACCAAGGACTGTGCAGAGCACATCTCCCAAGGACCTGTGGCCACAAGGTCAGGACACCTGTTTGGTGGCCAACACAGGCCCACGTCGTGGGTAGGGAGCAATTCTGGCAACTGTGTGCCGTCGGTGAGGTTTTACAGCTTACCAGGCTTCAGGCATTAAGAGCACAAAGGCTGGTCACACCACATTGCTGTGTTCCCACCAGTTGCTCTGTGGTTGGGGCAGGACTTTGTCTTGACAGCACTGCAGCAACAAGAAATCAAATTGTTTATGTTTCCCTGGCACAGGCTCTCTGCTTGCTTGAGTCCTGGCAAAATGCCCATCCTCTCTCAGCCATCATGTATTTGGGTTAGCAGTCAGCTTACCAGTGACTGTTCCCATCTGTCTCTGCAGTAAATTATTAACGTTTAATGGGCTAACTGGGCTGTGCTAAGAACCTTTTCTTCATTCAGATGTTTCCTTCAGCGATAATTCGGCTGTGTGATTTATTTGGATTTCTTGGTGACCTGCTCGCCCAATCTAAAAAAAGCTGCACCCATCGTTAGGTTGTTGGAGGAGCAGAGAGTTACTGGGTGTTGACAGCTGTCTAAACTGCATCTATTTGTTAGATAAAGGCAGTAACAGACGCACATAAAGCTGGAATTCACTGGACTGGATCCATCCTGACCTCCCACAGAATTAGCACCTCGCTGCAGCTAGGAATATTTTGGTTTCAATTTATTTCACCATGGCTACAAAAGACACATTCCTGTTTGCAGACAGTCCATGGAAACTCATTGCCTGTTTCCTGACAACCCTTAGGACAGAGATGGAGCTGACTGTACCAGCATCATTGTCCTTTCCCTTCCCTTAGAGACGCAGAGATAAATATTTATCGCTCTGGAGTTCTCATTCATGTCAATGAGTCCTTGGCATGGCACAAGGTAAATGGGGTTAGCTCACACCCTGATGATCCTGGCATGACTAAAAAGCAAGCTGGAGAAGTTTCTGTCCAGACATGCTAAGAGAGCCAGAAACTCTGCATGGTCCCTCCTGGTGAGGAGCTGAAGTCCAGGACAGCGTTCTCTGACCTGCGGGCACCCTGTAAAATGATGTATGGTGCTGGCAGCCCTCCCAAATGGGTGCTGAGCTCTGTGATGCTTGGCATTTTCCTGAGGGCCATTACAGGAATATGACACTGAGAAATTCCAGATAGTGCATGCTTTTCAGATAAAAATGCCGTTGAATACAGCATGCACCCTGGCAGAACGGAGAGAAGGAAAAACAGAGACAGGGTGATGCAGTCTGTCACCTGGCCATAACCCACCTGAAACTTTGTGATCCTGTCTATAGGGCTTTTCCTTATGACAGTAATCCTATGTTGTGTTGAAATCCATCTAGTGCCCAGAAATGTTAGGTGATTGTATATTCTATTTCTTGTATTTTAAAGAAAGCCAGTGCTAGTTTGGCACAGATCTGGTGTTAAGTATTTTAAAAACTCCGTCGCACCCACATCTCAGTGTGGTCCTCCGGTAAGGGTCTGTTTATTCTGACCTGTCGCTCCCCGTAGCTGTTCCTCTGTGCCTGGATCTCATCTCAAGAGCAGCACACTTCTACCCATTCCCACCTAAATTATCATCTCCAGTGCAGCCTAGGAAATGGGAAGCCTCTGAGAGCTCATCCTGCCATTCCCCTTGTCTGGGTCATATTGCCTGTGTACTGCAGACCCTTGACATCACTCTGAAAGTGTTCAGCCTTTAAACTGAACCCAGTTTCTGCCCTGTCCCACTGAATGAGCAGTGTTTCCTTGTGGGTGGTTGTTAAAGATCCCGTAACCAAAGTCCACATAAACTATTCATAAATTACTAAATGGCAGCTCTGTTTTCATCAGACTAAAATATCCCTTACTGTGATTTGGTCTTCATTTAGGTCTGTGATAGTTTATTCCCTCCTCTGCTTGGGGAGGGCACAGAGGAGGTGGGCACAGCACCTGGTCCTCATCGGTTTTCAATCTGAAATCCAGCCCTGCCGGGGAGTGACATTTTATGCTGCCAAATCCCGTCTCCATGCAGAAACACAGCTTCTCAAGTAATTTGTGATAAAGACTTTCAACTGCCTAATATGATTCTGTCATACGCTGGCATTTTATTTCAGTAGTACTTTGATCATACAGATCGAGTGTGTTTTAAAGACGTTGCCCGCATCATTAGCGACAGAAGTCGTTGAAGCCTTTGGACTAGAGGGACATAATGCAGGACCAAGGGCTCCATGTGAATACGGTGGCTTCTGGGTTCAGGCACTCTAGCATTTAGATCCCAGAAATAGTGTTTAAAAAATTAGATGTATTTCTCTTAATCTCATCTGTTCATTCTCTCCTTATGTTACCCCAAGGCTGAGCTGTACAGGTAGGAAATACTGAGTTACTGAACTGGCTATGCTATCAGCATTCATGGACGCAGTTTCATTACCACAACCTGCAAACTTTGCTGGGAACCTGAGTGTCAAATGGGGATGTTTCTTCCAGCATGCAGTTGCTCATGATGCAGGTTCGGCAAATCAAGTTGTGCCCTTCTTGTATCATAGAGCCCAGCTCCTGTTCTGCGCTCAATAACACTTTGTAGTCTCAGAATCTGACCTCTGAAATTCCCTTATGATATGCTGTCTTTAAAAATGTCCTTAGATTCATTCACCTGATCCCTTGTCCTGCATTTTGAGAGCATGCAGCTATGTTAGTGGGCAGAACAGGATAACCAAACCCCATAACAGTGACTGTGATGCCTGAGAAGGAACCAAGCCAACTAGACCTTCCTTTCACAAGCTGGATGTGCAGAGAAAATATGTTCTGAGCAGAGCAGGTTGTCTACCAAGTAACCACAGTAAGGACTATGCATACCTCAAGCACTTAAAATTCCCTTGTTAACTGTATGCTGCTGTTTTCTTTACTCAGAGCACAGATAAGTGAAGAGCTCAAGGAACTGATCCTACGCATGCTTGATAAAAATCCAGAAACAAGGATAACAGTCCCTGAAATTAAGGTAAATTAGACGTTGATATCATAGTCTTTTGTCTCAGCTGATTTTGTTGTTCCTTTGGTACCCTCTAATGAGGCAGAGCTGTTCCTGGTGTTTGTTTTGGGAGCTTTCTCTGGCGTGCCGCCTGGGAAAGGGAGAATGCTCATTTTGCAGCATGTAACAGCTCTCTCGCTGCTGTTTGCTTGGGGAATATTGACAAAAGCTTTCTTGTTTACTTATTTAAATTAAAATTGCTCAAAAGCTGGCTGATCCTCAGCAAATCCCCCGGGAGGATTGACATTGTCATGGGGACTGTGAGCTGCAGAGCCTGTGCTGTCTGTGTTGGTGGAGCTGTGCTACGGGGGCTGGAAGTGCGTTCCTCCTCTGGTGCTTGCATGGTCAATGGCCTCAAGGCAGCACATTTGTTTCTATTGGCTTTACTTGGGAGATGCTTATTAATATAGGGAGTGACTAGGACTGGTAGAGCACAAAGCTTCAAGAGGCTTGGCTTCGTTCTGGTTTTGCATGGGCTTGCTGTCCTCACATCACCCCTCACCAAGGCCTCAGATCTGCTAGAAGCTCTCAGATCCATCAGCAGTCTCTGCAGGGCACGCAACTCTTCTTCGCTTTGTCTCAGGCCAACACCAGCACATTTGCCACCGAAGCTGACAGTAGGAAGGTTGAACTTCAAGATGAGATGTGATATCACTTCCCTCTGTGCCCAGAAGGCCATGGCCAATGATGGTGGGAAGTGCTTTGGAGCCGTATTGAGTGATTTCACTTGGCAGCTCTTGCAGGCACTTCATGTGGAAACCTGAGCCCTTAAGGACCCTGGGGAGAAGAGCAGAGCAGGGTGCTGGATCTTATCCCTGGCCATGTGCCAAAGGTTCTTGGTGTGCTTGAGGACTTGTGTTTGAAGCTGAAAGAGCATCAGCCTTCAGCACTGCTTTTCTCATGCTCTCAACCAAGAAAACTATTCCATGAGAGGCAATAGAAAAAGGGCAGCTTGCTTCTGCTGTTCTCCCAAGAAAGATGATGGCCAAGCAGCTTCTTGGCAGAAGCAGCTGTGGAGTGACTCGCGACCATCACTGAAGACCCTGGCCAGGGGAGTCCAGCCTAGAGAGTACAGGAGAGCTTGATGCATGTGGCTGATGCCATCCAGACAAGGAGATGATGCACTCCCTCCATATTTGTATTCCCAGACTAATCCCAAGGAGCTTCTTTGCTCTGAAGTAGCATACAGCTGGCCGCATGGCATCGGGGCTCCAGCTTTGGCTTCTTGCATAGTTACATGTTTCTAAGTGGCTGTTCCAGGCCTCCTCCTCCTCCTCCCTGGGTTCCTTCTGTTTTGTTTTCCCCTGTTTTCACACTCTCCTCTTCTTTCATGTTCCTTACTTGTAAGGTAGAATCCTGACATGGTTGCAAATGTTCTTGTGCTGGTGAGCATTAGCTCGTATGTGATCAATTATAGTTGATAAATCTGATGTCTACATTGAGGATAAATGTAGCAAAAGCTGGGAGGAGGCAGTAAAGTATATAAGGGGGTTAGGCTGGACAAATATCTTGGAATTGCTGTTCACCATCAAAATAAATCGAGCAAGGAACGTTGAACATAGGGCTAGCCAGAGTCCCCTCTCTAGCAGAAACATTCGCAAGCCCCAAGTAGACTGTAGGTGCACTGGTTCCAATTAAGGCTGAACACGGTGATGTGGCTTTGAAAAGAGTTATTATAAGCACAATTAATGGTCTTTGGAAAACACAACTTAAGTGTTGTAAAGCAGGTCATCACTAAGCCCTTGGAGAACACTCTGGACACCTGCATCCAACTGATTGGAATGGCAGTAGGCAGTGAGCGTCCATCCTAATTAAACTCCTCGTCCTGGAGGGTGAGGCAGGCCTTTCTAGCACAGACTGGAGGGTGCTCTCCCTGACAGGCAAAACGTCCAGCCCTGGATGTGGGTAGCAGAGAGCCTCTCCCGTCCTGCTCTCGGCTCCCTTCCGCAGCAGCACAGCAGTGACAGGGAGGGATGGTGGGAAACTGCCTTCTCTCTCTTGTGGGTGTGTAGAGGTTTACATGGTGTCCAGGTGGCAAGGTATGTAATTTCTTTGTTTATGTAGGCAGGAGGCTGTTGAAGTAGCATGAGGCCTTGGTATTCAGATCCAAGTACTCCATTTTAAGCACCTAAACCCTTGTTTGTGTCGATGCATAAAATATCTTGATTGTCCCAGGTAGCAAGCATGCCTAGTCCAAGGTGAAATGTGTGCATACGAGAGAAAAAGATGAAAAGGCTCTGGATAACTCAGATTTTTTTCAAAGTGTTTCAAACTTGATTCAGAGGGTGCCAGGTTCCTCCAAGATGCCAGTCAATGGCAGTGAGTGGACAGCACTGGGCATTAGGGAATGCTGTTTGGCCAGGCACCAGATTGCAGCAATTTCCAAGGGAGCTGTTTTAGATGCATCACTGGAAGTGGAAAATGGAGCAGTACTGACAGCTTACCCCCATAATCAGTCCTGTGGCCCCATTTCTCTCTCATCACCAACATCATTGCACTCTGCTGCAGAAGGGAGACCTACAGCTGTCTCTGTGTTCCTCCCCACGCAGGTGCACCCGTGGCTAACCAAGGGCGGTGAGGAGCCCCTGCCGCTGGAGGAAGAGCACTGTACCGTGGTGGAGGTGACGGAGGAGGAAGTGAAAAACTCAGTGAAGACCATCCCAAGTTTGCCAGCTGTGGTATGTAAAAGCCACAACCGCATCCTCTGCGTGGGTCAAGAGCGTGATACTTTGGTGAAGCTCTCAACTGGTGAAGGAGGTTCAGAGAGGGTACACATGTGCTCCTGGCATGAGAAACTTGGCTTTTCAACCCAATGTAAACTTTTTGTGTCTCTGAGTACTGCAGCAGCCTGACTGCAGGGCCTGACTCTGTGAGCAGTCCTGTTTATATCTGCCTGGCTGCTCTCATAAGAGCTGTAGGGTCTCACCCTGAAAGAGCCTGGCATCAGACATCCCAGAACACCAGAAGCATCCCAACTGTGTTTTGTTTCATTAATCTAGCGGTTGAAAGAGAGCTCATTTGGATCCTCAAAATGAAGGCTCCAAACCTGGAGGTGACCTGGCCAGAGAAGCAGGGAGAGGACGGTGGTGTATATAGCTGGCGCTTGCCTGCCAGCCTTGGAGAGCCATAAGTGGGTTCAGGGCTCTCTCGGCAGTTTGTGTGTAGCCAGATGAGGTCTGCTCTAGGCAATTACTACGTAATTGTAGTTCCTCATACTGGGGAGAGAGCTGCTGATCACAGCTCTCGTGGTGTGATGTTATCATAGACACTTGGCCCAGCAGCTGGCTGGGGGAGTGAAAACCATCCTTTCCCCTTGACCTTTCCCTTCTGACCCACAGGAGCTGAGGGCACTCCCTGGGCAGTGCCTGCCTGAGAGGATGGCCAGGAGAGCTCTGGTACTGCCTCCTCCTGGACTTGGGCCACCATGAATGGCAGGCAGTGGTCAGCAGCTTTGCCTCTTGCCAGCAATGGTCTGCGTCCTGAGGTCTGAGCTCACTGCCCGAGGGGGTGGCACTGACACTGCCTGGAAGTCACATTGCTGTTCTGTGGGTTTCTCTAGTTCATGCTCTAGCTGCAATTCTGTTAAATGTCTGTTGAATTATTAAAGAAGCTGTTCTTAGACTCCTTTGAACTAGCTTCAAGGGGGTGATATGTCAGTCCTGCTGTTCTCACAGGTCTGTTTTTCTTCTTCAAAGATCCTAGTGAAGGCCATGCTAAGAAAACGCTCCTTTGGAAATCCATTTGAGATTCAGACCAGACGGGAGGAGAGGTCCATGTCTGCTCCAGGGAACTTACTGATGTAAGTTTATATACAGCCTTGCCTGGCTCTGCTGCTTGTACAGAGTAAAGGTGTGTGGGGAGGATGAAGGAAGCAGTTTACAAATCTTTTCTGTAGCATTTAAGGACAAAACTCATTTTAAATCAAATACTGAGGCTAAATTCTACCTCAAGTCCTCTGGGGTTAAAGTACAATGCAGTATAACAGGCTAAATTTACCCTTTTAATAGGTGCAGTTCTCTCTGTAAGATGGGTTTGGCCTAAACAGATGTAAAGTGCTACACTAGTCTGGTTTTTAACCTGTTAGTTTATAATACACTGTGATCAAAGATCCATTAGAGATTGGTGAACTAAAATAAGTTTAATTAGTGTCTAATCTGGATATGTGTTGGAGGGTTTAATTCTTCTCTCCCTTTTTTATGGACAATGGAAAAGGCACCAAATGAGCAGTTTGCATGTGTTATAAACTCAAAACGTGGTTTGTCTGTGGCCCAAGTCTGGGCAGAGACACTGTGGAGACGCGTGGGCAGACAGTGGAGAACACTGTGACATTGCTTTTTCATTTCAGAAAACATACAGCATTTTTTCATACAGCCAGTTGTGAAATGGTGGAACACATTGCTACAGGATATTTTGGAGGCTGGATATAAATGGCTATATTGGGATTAAAAAGGGAGTAGACAAAGTAATGACTGTTAGATTCATCAACAAATTTTAAACAATGGTCTGGATGTACAGGGGTGGGGGGAGAATTTCTGTTCTTTACTTGGCCCTTACTTTTTTTCCCCTCCTGTTGGTTACCCATCCCTTTCAGAGCCAGGATTCTGAGCCATCAGGCCAGTCAGTAACAGATAGACCATTAGCCCGACCTGGGACAGTTATTCATGTTCTCGCCATACAGAATCCGTAAGGCTGCAGTTCACAACAAAGTTGTGTTGTCCCAGAATGATCCTTTTCCACCCAAAATCCCAGTACGGTGCCTAGCAGACTCCCACGAGGGTGTGCTAAGGGTCTCACAGTGCGAATAGAGGAGTGTCTCTCTCTCTCAAGGGCATCTGGGGATTTAAGGGCTCAGGTCAATTAAGGATGATGAAGCTTTAGGGCCCAACTGTGTATCAGACGCTGCAGTCAAGGCTTTGCCTCTGAGTCCAGGACCAGTTAATATTAGACAGCAGTTTAACAGCTAAACACCCCATAGACTGCGCGCTGCTGTGGGCACATATCTGAAGAGTATGGCAGTCACAGCTCGTCTGCCAGCTTCACACAGGGAATTTGTCCTCATTTGTTTCCCTTGGCTCATTGCCTTCCAAATTAGTTATTGCTAATTTGACACATGTCTCTGCCCGTATCTTCGCTATCATTCCTGGTCACTGCGTTTCATTGCTCCGAGATGAGGAAACTTTTACTAAATTTGAAGAAAAATATATTGCATGCTTCGTGTTGTCCAGGACAGCTAATTCAGAGCAAGGCAGGCTTTCTTCTTTTTAAGCCCTGCCTGAATTGGTATTTCAAGGTGGTTTCTTCTAGTATCCTGAGCCTGTGTCCAAAAGGGACCTCTTCCCTTCCACCTTCTTTTGAGATGCTTGATAGCCTATGCCACTAAATAACCATCTGGTGGGAAAACTTCTTGACCCTGGCACTGTGGCTGGTTCCTGCCTAAAGCCAGGTGCTTTGTTATCTGCTCAGAACAAGTAAAGTGCATTTGATCTAACGTAGCTGTGAAGTTTCTGATTAGCTGCATTATCAATGTTTAATCCCTTTCTAAATCTTTTTAGGCCTTCAAGATGAACCTCCACTTTTACCTTTGTCTCCTTTCTAAAGTTGCTAGTCAAATTTTTCTCAGCTTATACAAACTCCCTATCTCCACTCATTTCAGCCCCATGTTTGCATTCAGGGTCCTTGTACAGGAATACACTAAAAGGTTTTTGAAAACCCTGTATTAATTTCCACTGTTGTGCTGTTGCGTCCAGGGCCCTTCATTTACAAGAACATGCCAGGTCAGGGATGGAGCTGTGGCGGTGCTGGGCTGACCTCTGCCCAGCAGTGTAAGCGCTTAGAGATCTCCAAAAAGAATGTGAATGGTCTTTGAATGTGCCAGTTCTCCACTGCACTAACCTCTGTGTTTAATTTGTCGATCTTGTGCCATCAGCACCAATTTTTGGCAGTAACAATTAACTTTATCCGAAATTAAATTATGCACAACTGGACCTTTGAGAACCCATCCTCAAAACCCTTCTGTTTTAAAGACAGACATTTGGCTAAATCTCTTCAACAACTGGCGTTGTGTATTAAACACTACAGCAGGGATGCTTTTTTAAGAAATTCTGGATTATTATTTCAAACTATGAAAAACGCTATACTGGTTGAATCTAATGAAAATTACTTCAAATTTAAATAGATTTGTTGAATCTAATGACATTGATTTTAAGTGAACCAAGTCTAAATGGGAACATTCATTGTTCAGTGAGTTATCTCTTGATTACAGTGTTATTGCCACAGGGGCAAACAGAGCTAGATGCTAAGCCCATCCAGTTTGTAATTCATAGTGGGTTGTTCTGTAGTAAAACCACCCTTAATATACATATAAACTATAACATCAGTGCAAATATTATGAGTAGCACTGTGTTAGTTAAAATAAGTTTTGAGTAAATTTGAATGACTGTAAATTTCTAAGACTTAGCAGGAACAGATAATATTGTTGTAGCATAAAGGCTCTGCAGAGTTCCTGCATGTCAGGCACTGTTTTCTCCCCCGTGGCTGGACAGGGTACCCCAAAAGTGGGGCTTGCCAGAGGGGCAGCACCCGCAGCCATCCCCACTCTCTGGCCATGCTGCCCTGTGATTGTCCACAACGAGCTGAGAGAAAAATGAGCCACAGGTTCCCAAGCTCTCCACTGCAGAGCTACTCCTTGTCAGTGGCAGTGACTTTAGAGAGGGATAAATCAGCCTTCGTAATATTGCATCTCCTTCTAGTTCTAGGTAGAAAATAACTTGTGTTTCTATACAAGAAAAAAGAAAAGCAATTTAGAAAACTCCAGTTTCACATTCAATTTATTTAATTAGGCTGCATGTGAAATTGCCAGAGCCCCACTCACTGCTGCTTCAAGCATCTTACATCTGTGCCCATACTGAGAATATATTTTGCAGGAAATCCTCTGACAGCTGAGTCTGCTTTCTGGTATTTGATGCCTAATTGATGGTTCTTAAAATGGATCTGTCCTCTAAGAAAAGAGGAAGAGAAAGGAGCTGGTTTAACAGCTAATTCTTTGGGATTTGGAGAGGAGGAAAGTGTAAATCATGTGGTTGAATTTTTTTTATTTTAATTTCTCCCTGCATTACCTGTACACAGTGTGCTGGGCTCTGTTCTTGCAAATGCTTCGTGCAGAAGTCTTTGTGATAGCAGGAGGTCTTTCGTGTTTGCCTCAGGCTTCAATCCTTTGGAGGACACCATTAAGACAGCAGTGATTTTGAAATAGTTCTTAAATTAGTACTGTGAGGAGAGAGGGCTTTTTTAGTGCTCCTTAGACCTGGAAGAAGCAAATCCTCTCCTGGGTGTTATTTATTGCTTTAATAGCACTGAAAAGTTAAAAAGGCAGCTGTTAAAATGGCAGGTAGAAGGGAATGAAAATGAAGATGCCCCTGTTAGGCAATTCTTGTTTTGCAGTGTTGGCATCTCCCACGAGAGCACTTCTGCACACCTAGAAGCCATGTGAGTGCTGCCACGAGCTGTGTAGTAGCTGGGGCCAGACGTCCAGGCGGCACCGATTCCTGCCTTTCGTGCAGGATCTCTCAGAAAATGCTGGGATTCACTGAGCCTTGCAGGTCCTGCAGACCACAGCCGGGCTCACATCTGTCACTAATGGTGGCAGAAGCAACCGATCGTTTCTAACTTTCCCAGTTGCAGAATATTTTTATACCCAGCTGTTTAGCGTTCACAGTTAAGTTCTGGGTTTCTGTTAGCAGTGTTTGTTACATCTCTTCTGCCTGCTCCAGATTTCTCCTAATTGAGTCAGCACTGGCTTCACCACATTTTATTACTCTCATTTATTGCAACTACTACCTATCAAATTAATTGCTGTGTTTTGACAGACCCAGTTTACTTTCCTATTATGGCTGCTATTACTATTGATGAAATGTGGTTGTCAGCTCCTGTATGGGGGATCAATCTGTATTTAGAAAGCCTACTCTGCTTCCAGCCTTCCCAAAAAGAGAGCAAAAGAGCCGTCGCTGCCCTTAGGGGTCTTACTGTCCCTGGAGGTTAGGCATGAGGAAGGCAGGAGGGACAGGGAGGTAAAAAAAGTGGCTGAGTGAGGTCTCCCAGCACAAACAGCTTCTCCCAAAGCAGCAGGAGAGGTACCTGCCTCGTGGGGGCTTTGTGCTGAGAAAGTCCCAGGGCTTGGTACCATAGTGCTGCTCAAAAATAGGCTGCAGAGATCCCTGTAGGGCAGCTAGCAGCCAGCTGGACATCAGCAGCGTGCTGGAAGCACTCCGGAGCTTTCAGCAGCAGTAGGGGCTGGAGCAGGTTTGTACCAGTGCCTGTCCTCATCCTTCCTTCGAGCTGCAAGTGAATGTGACTGATGCTCCATCCTCCCTTTCACTCTGCTCCCTAGACTTGTTAGATGCAGAATTACAAGCTCCTTTGCCTGCTGCCATCACCTTCATGATCACTTTCTTCCTTTGTTTCATTGTTTTGCTCTCAGGGACAGACTCTTAAACGCATCTGTGTATTTGCATCCATCTTTAAGGTAATTCAGTATTTGTGTTTCCCCTGGGTGCTGTAGAAACGTGTGTCCTCTCCTCAGCCTGCGTGATTTGTGTGGTAGTGAGAGCATTTGGCTCCATCCTTCCTTCCTGTAGGACAATTTTACTGCAGTAATTCTGTGTGTGACACTAATGTTTATGTATGCATAGTAGTAGTAGTTGTTCTTTGGTGTTTCAGCCTTCTTTGGGGAGGGAGGGGTGAAAAAAGCCAGTTGGGTTTTAGCAGGAACTGCTGCTTGGCCCCATGTTCATGGAGGAACAACCACAGAATTTGGGAAAAGCTGAGGCTGAACTTGTAATTTGGGCTCAGGTTTAATATTTAGCGGTTATGCAAAAGAAATAGAGCTGGAGCCATCTTTGCTCCAGCTGCTCCACTGCTCCCCTGCACTTCTGCTTCTGATGCCACGCTGGGAGAGCTCTGGGCTGACTGAAATTCTGCTCTGTGTGACCACCCACCCCACCTCAGCCAGGACGTCTCTAAATCACGGTCATTTCTCCAACCACTTACACATATCCTTCTAGGGAACAGTCTGTCCAATTAATTCTGTTAAATAACAAAATAACATTCAATACAAACCATGACAAACTGCTTACAAACATCTCGGAGTCAAGTCCCAGGATCTAGTGCTTAGGCAGGACACAGCCTCCATTGAGGCCTGGGGAGATCTGGTCTGGGGTGAGAGGTTGGTAACTACCTCTGGGAGCAGCTCCACTGCTCTGGGGACTCTGGCTGGCCTGGTTTACCGCTCTGAGACGAACGGATGAGCCAGAGCCAGGATGCCACCTGCTCCGAGTGAGGAAGGACTTGCAGAGATCCTCCAGAAATAAATAGAAGGCAGGCGGAGGAGGATGGGGACTGACGTGGTGCTGTCAGTGACAGCTGCTGCCAATGCCTGCTGCTACATTTTTCATAGAGAACTTCCTCATGAAGAACAGCCCTTCTTCTTTCAAGATGTATTTCAGGAGTGACTGCACAGCCTGGCCACAGTCAGTGTGCCCCCAAAATTTGCCTGTGTCCTCAGCAGAAGGCAGGGGACATCACCAGCCTAGACGACAGCAGATTATTGGTGTTAAATGGGGACTCAGTGCAGGAATTAAGCACTTACCAGGAGTGTGTGTGTGTGTACGTGCTGTGATTCAGCTGTTTGTAGGTTGCCCCACTCCAGGCACATGGAGCAGCACTGACTCTCCACGGCTGAGTTGGTTTGCCCACACAGACTGATTCTTCTGCAGCTGGGCTGGCATGAGCAAGGCCAGACACTCTGGGAGACAGGGATGCTTGGGGACAGCATCACCCCCTTTACGCTGTGGATATCTTCACATCTTCATGATGGAGAAACAGGCAGTTTAGGTGCAAGTCGTCTGCCTGCCATAGGTCTTTGCTGTGGGGTGGATGGCAAACAGAGGTGTCACACTTTCGCCTTTCAGTCTAGACTGTGACAACTTGCTCTGGTCAAATCTTGATCACGGGCTCTATTACGGACAGGTGGGCTGGGTGGAGATGTTACTTCTCAAGGGTGCCCCAGGGTGCTCGAGCTGGCTTTACCCCAGCAGAGCTGGTGGCACAGACACACTGACTGCACTGGAGTGAAACCAGCCAGCAGCAGGGCTTGGGCTGCGCACGGGCTTGTGGAGCAGACAGCAGGCACCATGTGCTGTGGCTGTCGCATCCTGCAGTGTGTACCCCGTCACATGGCATCCAGCAGTGCTGCTGGGCCTGTGGTGGATGTGGTGCCAGCATGGCTGAGGCTTTGCCAGACTGGCTGGCTCGGCTTGGAGTCCATAAAAGTCCCCCCAGCCTGAGCCAGCAAAATGCTCCATCAGCCTAAATGTCTCCACTTGTGCCTCAGAGCGATGCCCTAAGCAGCTCTGAGCCTGTGTCCTCACTGGCAGAGGTAAGGTGTCCCATCCCACCGCAGCAAAGCTCAAGCCTTCTACATAGGAAGACAACAAAAATTAGGAGCAGGGGGAACAGGCTGAAGGTATCGTGGTGCATGTATAATGCAAGTTAAGTTACCTTGGCTGTGTTTTTAAGCACTGCTGCTCTCGGTTGCTGAGCTGGTTTGGAGACCAGACAAGCTCACAGAAACTGAAATCAAACAACTCTTGTGTAGGGAAAACTGAGTTCTGGTAGAAGCGTTCAGTTTTTACTGCCATTTACAGTGGGGCTTTGGAGAAGTAGTTATGGTATCAAGCCATCACTCTGATCTTTAAAAAAAAAACAACACAAAAACAGATTAAAGAAAAGCAGACTAGAACTCCCCAAATACAAACTAGGTAATTCAAAACATTGCTGCTGGTCTGCAAGACTTTCTCCAAGAACCAGATCCCTCCTTGTGATGCTGCAGCTGGGAGAAGGGCACACAGTGCAAAGTGCAAAGCTTAGTCTTCGGGGTGCCGAGACCAAGCAAGTGCATAGAGACGAGGCGTGTAGCACTGCGGCACATCGCGCTGGGATATTGCTGAGCTGTTTATGTGGTACCAGGGCAACAGGCTGGTTCTTCGCTCTTCCCTCTTAATATTGATGTTGTTGACCTAGGTTACCTGTAGGACCTGCTTTATTTCTTGCATTGTTATGTGCCTGTAATCTCTTTATTTCCTTCCCATTCATGTAGAAAACAAGGGAGCAGAGAAGGAGGCAGGGACCCGGAGCTGCCTGATGTGTGTGAAGATGAAGCTACGTCCTGAAGCTGCCTGGCCATCCGCAGGCTGGTCGCTCACGTGCTGCTGCTGTTGTACCCATCATGGTGTTGTCTAGCACGTATCTGCCCTCATTGCCAAGTCCGGGGCCTGCAAAGGAAAAAAAAAAGCCCACAAAAAACCCCCCAAACAAAATGGACCAACCCAGAAAACCAGAAAGGAGGAACAGAGCAGCAATAAGAAGAGCAAGTCCTTGGGCAGCGCAGCTGGCAGAGGGCTGTCTTGGCCTCGTGGGTGGCTGTGTTCCTTGTGCGAGGTGTCCGTGCGCTGCTCCCTGTGTGCCTTGCTCTCCACTTGTGTTTCACGTGTGGGCATTGTAGTTGGGTGTCTTGGCCAATGAATGTGGTTTTATTTGTAACGTAGCAAACCAAACGTTGTCTCATGGGTCGTTTGCCCCGGAGACTTTTTCCTTGCTTTTTTGCATTCTCTATTTCAAGCATCAGGAAAAAAAAATGACATCAAGCCAGGTTTTATATCAAAGGGCAACTGTTTTATTTAATGCATGGGTAAAGTTCTTCTGCATACCAGAATACATCTGCTCCTGTTGGAGTTGATGGCAAAATTTCTATGGATATCAGTTAAACAAGGATGAGATCTTCCTTTTGGAATGAACGCTGTCACTCTATGCCGTTCTTTCTCTCTCTCCTTTTTTTCCTTCTCTTCTTACCCCTCAGTTTTTTGCACAGTGTAAATCCTGCCAGCATTGATGGCTTTAGTCAGGGTGGCGGCATAAAATAGAAGAACTACACAATATTCCCTGCGATGTGCAATGAGCTTTTGAGCGTCGTAGACATCTGGAGCATTGGGATACGCTGTTACACGGAAAAGCTTAGTGCACCAAGGACGTCAGCTAACCGGGCGTGCTCTTCCCAAAGAGCTGGGATTGCATTCCGTCGGCTGTGCCCAGTCCTGTGTGCATGGACCTTGTTCTCAAAGGTGAAAAGAAGTTGGCAGGTTTTGGGTTTATTTTATTTAAGGGTGATTTCTTTTCCTTCACTCATCTCTTAGCTCCTTTAAAATTATGTACCTGATGCTTTTAAACTCTAATTTCCTGATAAATGACCCAAACTGGGAGCATTCCCTAGGATGGAAAATGTTGGTGGAGGGTTTTTAGACTAAGGAAAGCTACAGAACACAAATGAGATCAAAAACTTTATCTTTTGTTTTTTTAAAGGCTTTAATTCTTAATTTTATTTTCAGACTGTAATTTTTATGAACGTGCTGATGCTGCTATTTTATCCATAGATTGCTTCTAAACTTGGGATTAGAAGCTTCATCTCTACAGTTTGACAACAGGTGAGAGGTTGCACTTAAAAGGGCAAATGCAGCTATTTCAGCGGCTGTTGACTATACAGACTGTGTATATAATCAGGAATTTCACTCTTGCACTCAGAATAAAATACAGTGACATCAATCCATCAAAATACATGTTAATATTTTCCCTTGAGCTTTATGGGGTCTGAACATGCCCGTGGGAAGCCAATGGGATTGGATTCTTATTTTATAGTACTTAAATAAAGGACACGATTAAATTTGGTTCCTACATAATCATCTTACTGTCTTTTTATAGGTTAACCCTTGAGGGCTTGGGACTTTGTCCCCACATTTTTTGTGCGAGGGGATACATGTACAAGGATTGTTGGTAGTGCCTGGAATACTGGTGTTCCCATTCTTTTTACTGCAGTCTAGTTTGGTGGTTCCCAACATTTTCCTAACCGGGCTTTGCTGCCGGTGGCCTCTGCTCCCCATCCACAGCCTGCTGCCTCCCCTCGCTGGTCTTCAGCCGCCTCGGTGGGATGCCCAGAAGGCTCAGCCCTATGTCTTGCCTGTAAATATTGACAAATTGGGAAATAGTATTGCAGTTAATGCATTTTATTAAGGAGACCTTTAATTTCTAAAGCAGGCAAAGGGATTATATGCTGTAAAGGTTACTGCTCTGGGCCTGTGCTCTGCATCACTCGCATCCAGATGGTAAATCCTGCCTGCATTTGTGCGTCTGCCTGCGCCAACTGTGCGCTCAGCATCCTCTGAGGGCCCGTGGCTCTCCTTCGGCCAAGTGCCATGATACGTCCCGCGGGTTGGCACACTCAAGCGTGTGCTTGGATCTGGCTGCCTTGTAACAAAGATTTAAGTGCCTGGTGAAAGGGAGTGAAAACTGAGACGGAGACTTGGCAAGTCTGAGAGCGCAAGGGGGAGCCCTGCAAATGCGGGAGGAGGGACTGGGCAGGAAGAACCGCTGCCTGCGGAGGGGATGGTCTCTGGATGCAAACTGGTCTGTACTGGGACAAACCGCTGGCATGCCACCAGGTCCTGCTGCGCACCAGGGACCGAGCTGAACAGCCTTGGGGAAGTGGCAGGAGCGAACCCTGTGCCCCCCAGGGCTGGCCATGGCAGAGCTCTGCTGCGGCAGGGCTGGGCTGCCGGCAGCAGGGAGGAAGGCTGCAATGCTGGGTGAGCCCCCAGCCCGCGCAGAGGGGTGATCTCAGGACGACTGCATGTTTTGGGAAGTTGCCTTACCCCTGGGAAAAGAGGGAGTACCGGTGATCCTTATCCCCATGGCTCTTCTGAGGGCTAAGCAATACTTGAGTGGTGCTCAAAGAGCTGTTAACATGGGGTCATTTATTGTATTTTTAATATATGGTAAGGATAATTCAGGGACGGAGAGACACTTTGTTAATCCAGCCAGTTGTTGGGGTTATTCTGGTAATGGCCAAGGGGGTGGGAGCTAGCAGGGCATGGCTGCAGGAAGGCTCTTCTCAGCCTCAACTGATGTGACCGAACAAATGATCATTTACAAATTATCTCTATGTCATGTTCCTTTAGTGGTAGCTGGAGTGCCGCTTCAGTTTTGGAAGGGAATGGAGGAAATGGGTGGTTTTTATAATTATCCCAAAATTACTTTGAAAAAAAATTGCCCTTTCTGACAAGAAATCCTTCTGGAGCTGTTTCCGCAGGTGCAAGAAGCAAGCCAGAGTTGTACAGCTGAGCTTTTGTCATACCGCCAGCAAATCTGCCAGCCTTGTGGGTCTTTCCTTTATGCCTCCAGAAGCCATCCGTTACAGACAGCAGCCTGAAAACTTGTGTGAAGTGAAATGAAATGAAAAAGGTGCGCTACCAGCAAGAGAAATGCTCAGATTTATTCAAAGGCTTGGTAGGACTCCTGCAAAAATAAGCTCTAGTTTTCACTTAGCTGAAATGAAATCCGTGCTTGTTTATGTGCATGTTAGGGCAGCTGGGAGCAATGCTGCTCCTGCTCTGAAGAAAGGAAGAGACTAAAGAGAGTGTTTATTTAAAAAACCCTGAAATCTCTGGCAAGCCAGCCCTTTTATGGCCTCAGGAAACTCATTCTCTTTAGCTGGATAGCTAAATATTTGTCTCGCTTCTCTCTATGAACGAAGGGACCGGGTTTGGCGTGGCAGGGCTCCTCAGAGCAGCAAGAAGAGCTGGGGTAGGCACATTGTGATGCTTTTGTATATGCTCTGTGGTTTCCCCTTTGAATCCTCACTTGCCTGTGCTATTCCTGGGGAACAAGCATCCTGTGAA